ATCTGCCTCCAGAAGCGGTGAATGCTCCAACACTGGAAGTTTTTAAGAAGAGACTGGACAGCCATTTGTCCGAAATGGTATAGGGTTTCCTGCCTGAGCAGGGGGTTGGACTAGATGACCTTCAAGGTCCCTTCCAACTTTACTATTATTATTATTATTATTATTATTATTATTATTATTATTATTATTATTATTATTAATCAAATATTATTATAACCAAAGACCAGTCAAATAAAATGCTTAATGATATGGAGCAATCATATAATGCAATCAGTTGCTTTATAGAAAATACACAAGCACCATCAAGAATTTAGGGAGGACATATTTAGCCACAATAAGAGAAAGACCATATTGGTTGGAAACATGCAAAAGAGGCCTTCATCCTGCAGTGGATAGACAATGACTAAAATGATGAAAAGAAAGATACCTTTTCACACCCCATTTTACTGTTTACTTAGGAAGTGCCTCACCTTCCCAAAAAAAAAATCTGGGATGATATGGGGGGGGAAGATATTTTACTTGGCTATCTTGCAAAGAGAGGTAAGAAACAGGCTTTTAACCAGTAGTGATCTCCCATGGATGGAGTGGCACTTTGGTAAGATGGAACATCCCAACATGGTGCCTCTCAGTTCTACTCTGGAAGATTAAGGAAGGGTATACAATTTCCTTTAAATCAAAGAAATTGGCAATATGCACAGTTGAGGTATATGTCTTCATTTAATAGCATTTTATCTTTATTTGTTTGCTGTTTTACAGTTCAAAACATTCCATAATTAATTCAGTGATGCTCTTCTGTAATTAATTAATGATGGTTCTAACTAATTCAGTAAAGTTTCCTCACAGGAGATAACTCACTTGATGATACAGTTGCATCTATACTGATAAATTCCTCACAATCAAAGCTTCTATACTGCAGAAGAAAGCATAATAGAAGATTTTTGGATTCCTCAAAAACTTTGAAAAACTTAGCTTGGTAAGAAATCTCTTTACTCTTTGAAACATACATTCTTTTATAATGCATAACCTATAAGGTCATTTAATAATTCAGTTCAGTAACTTCCTGTGAAGTACTAAATTTTTCTGGTGATTCTAGCATTGTCTTATACTGTATGTACTTCACCATGATAATTGTGTTTGTTAGGCCAGATGACGAGTTGGATTCTTTGTATGATTCAAACCAGCCTCATATACAGCCAGAACCAATTGGAGATTTTCTTGGAAATGGTGAAATCCAAAGTGAAGGCATATATTCAGAAACAGGTATTCAGTTACTTATTTCTAGCACAACCTGAGCAAAATAACATCTTCACATCTGAAATTATGCAGAATGTATCATTGGCTTGATCCTGCTACGTTGTTTTAGCCTTTTAATTGCAGCATTGGTGTCACTCTATGCAAGATGAACTGCATTCTAAGTTGTTCCCTTGTGCCCTCCTTTAATTCACATTTGCATTTCATTCATGGAGACTCCATTTTTCACCATATTAAGATTTCCAGGATTTAGTTATGACAAATTGTTGCTATTCCATCAAGGAGAAAATATCTGCTCTTAGTTCCAGACAAGAGGTAGAGTATCTTGTGTTCTAAATTGACAAATTTCTTCACTAAGTTTGTGTTTTGCAGAATAGCAAAACACTGATTTGTTGTACTAATTATATAGCTCATTTTATCTACCTTTCTAAACAAAACAATCATACAAGTTATTTAGTTGATCATGTCCAAGACTTGTCAGAATGGAGGAAAAAAATAAGTCTTTTTTTCCATTCTGAGAAAGTTATAAGAGCAAATGGAAATCATTCTTGATACTTTCAGGGTTGGATTCTTGTTTATTTTTTAACAGCAATTTTGAGTACTTTTAAAGCTGTGTCAAGAATGGGTTGTATTCTAAGTCAAAGGATAGAGCAGCTTAAAAAGGTGGTGTAACTGCCATGGGCATACTAAATCATGCACAATTTCATTGCACATATTTGCATCCAGTTAAAAAAAATCTCACTAAAATTTCACAATTTCACCCAGAACACAAATCTTGAGAGATTTCAGGTGACAACCTGAGATTTCAGAGATGAGATTGCTACTATTATTTGGCACGCGCATAAGTGGAGAGAAGATTTGGCATTCCTAAGGAATTCTACATTAATCAGATGCATATATATATCAAACACACTGGTTAAGAAATCAAGGAGATCCACAGAAGTGCCCCAGTTGCTTTGGGATGAAGGGAAAAAGAATATAAATTTCAGCACCTATAGGATTTTCTTTCCTTGGTGAAATCTGGCATGTTCAATTATTTAATTTTGCTGTACTTACATTGTTTTGCTATTGTTTTAATTTGTATTCTGTTAATAATTTTCTATGTTAAGGTACCTTGCAGGAAGCTTTGCTAAAAAGTAGAATCTATAAAATAAATAATTGGGCAACATTTTGGTTCCTATATATTCATGGCTAAGCTTTTAGATTTAATTATGTTGTTTAATTCTTTTGAACTATCTCCAAATGTTAGATTTCCCTGTTTACAGAGTAGGTTAATAATGATTCATAATGTGAACTGACAGGTACAACCCTGCCTCCTATGTCATCATCTGGAAAAGGGGCCAGTCACATAACCAGCATACAGTCTTTCCATAATGAAAAAAATATTGTGTAATGGCTTTTATAAAATAGAGGAATATAATGCTGATAATGCTGCTTCCATTTTCATCTATTAGATATTACTCTGCCATCCACTTTAAGAGTGGCTGCTTATTGTGATTATAATAATGATGGTGATGCAGTAAGAGATAGTGTGAGCATTTCTGAAACCCAGGAATTGAATGGGGAAAGCATGGTAACACCTCAGTTCAATCAAATTTACCATGAATTATCTATCATCCATCAGAAGCTACAGGTAAAATATTAAGAATGGTTCAAGTATTGGTTCGTTTTCATTTTCTTTCCAATATCAGCAGATACTGCTATATATTGCTGTTGGTTCTTTTGTCTTTTATGGTGCAGCAAGAAAAATTAAGTCAGCAAGAGTATGCTTTGAAACTTCAAAAGAGAGAATGCTTCATAGCTGAACGGGAAGTCCAGCTTTATAGGCATGAAGCTGCTTTGACCAAGATAAAGGGGGTTGAAGAGGAAGTTCATACAAAATTTCAAATTGTGAAGGAGGTATCCCTACTTACAAAATTCTTGTTAAATTTGAGAAAATTATTCTAACAAACACATAGGCTGTATTTTATACCGTAGACATTTCAGATAGACATAAGAGAAAGTGTCCTTAGACATCAGCATTGCCCAGGCAGTTGTGAAAGCAGTGCAGCTGGGGATTTGGGCCCCACTGTAATATATCAGCTCCCTGTTCCTAGAATAAAAAAATCCTTTTCCTGGGTAATTTACAAAAAACATTAAATATAGGGCATCAATAGTGGAAGTGGACTGAAAAACAAACCTCTGGCTAATCAGAGGATATAGAGGTACTAAATGATTATGTTATGAGGAGAGAAAATGAAAGACTTCCGTGTTAGCAAGATTAGGATTGATGGTAAAGCTTATACAGCTAGGGTAGTTGTATGTATGCTCATGTGTACCTAGAGAGTGTGATATACCTAACATGCATGCATAAGAATTCAATCTTATTGATTCTTTTAACATAACTATGAGGTTTTGTTTTGTTTGTTTTGTTTGTTTTTCCTTTCCCCCCCCCCCCAGTGGTCTGTTAGCCAGTTTTTCTGCCCTACAGCAGGGAGAACTGTATTTCAGAATGTTGACAGAAAAGGGTTACTCAAAGAAAATTAAGTTTCCTCTTCCTTTAGAATGTTTATCTTTTTCTTTTTTTGATTTTGAGGCTATTAGATTTTTATTTGAGAAAGCGCTGGGTGGTACAATTATTTATTTCCTTATATATTGCATTGTGTCTGTCTTATATGCTTATATGATTTACAATGTTTTTTTGAAAACCGTAGGTAATCCTATTTTAAAAGTTCTTATTTTGGTTTGTAGCAACATGGAGCTGAAATAAAGCAGTTATCCGATGCCTTGAAAGAAAAAACAAAGGAGAACAAAAGGCTGAAGACATCATTTGAAACACTAAAGGAGCTGAATGACACCTTAAAAAAACAGGCAATTAACAGTTTTAACAGAATCATTAATCTGGCATTAATAAATGCTATAAATAGAAGGTTATTGTTTTTAATATGAAGTATTAATATGTGACAATGATGACAGTGGCAAATAACTACAGATTATGCTGTTTTAAGAATATAGTTGTCAGGAAGATCAATGTATTTTAACTCTAATACATAATGGTATCTTTAAAAAAAATAGTGTTTGAATTACTGTAACTTAATAGTCTTCATTATTTAAGCTCTTCTGTCTGAAATTTAAAGTTTTCTAATTATCATAATCTTACAGTTTAATATATTTTAGCAATGGGCAAAGTGCTCATGTTTTCATTGCAGATTGGAAACATCTGCAGTAGTTGAAAAGGACAAAACACATCACAGGCAGCTTTAACCAATTATGGCTACTTATTAGATGTTTTCAAGTAGCTTTCAAAGCACTTTAGGAAAGGTGTAATCAACATGGACAGTCGAGCCTAGCCAGGGGCCCAAGATTTCTTACCAGAGTTTCCAACAAGTATTCTGACTTCCCCATGCCGTACCTTAAACTGTCTGTAACTCCTGTGGCACAAGGTCAGGCACTCCCCTCCCCTCAGGCATCCTTGAAGATCAAAATAAGAAATCTCCCTACTTGGAGCAGCAGTGCCCTTGTGACTTTGACATGCGGAGACAACAGAATGTGTGCTTCTCCAATGTTTGTACCTTAGAGGTGTTCACGCTACTGTCATCCTGCCACTACTACATAAATACTTTGAGTGCGCAGGACAATTTTACCCCATTCCATTGTTTTCAGATACTGACTTTGCAATAACAGACAACCATTGCCAGATTCTGTTCTGTGCGCTCAAAATTTGTCAGATGATTAACTCTGGGTTGTATCTGGGGCTCAGCATTATGAATTACATTCAGGCTGTACCTGGTCTGCCATATTGGGGTGCTCTGTCACCTAACGTATGGCCTTTTATGTGTTAACATTTAATGCTTCCTTGTGTTCTCTTAATGTTTTCACCTCTCCTTCCATTCACTTTTTATACCTTTTATACCCTCTGCCTGATATATTTTAATTTAGACAATCCATATTTTTTATACTTTCTACATTTTTGCTCTTTAAAACTTCTTTTAGATTTTTTTACTTTTTATATTGTTATATCTTTTATGTCTCATACGTTTCTGTGTGTTTTTTCACTTTTGTTTTATTTTTTAAAATGTTTATTATGTGCAATATGCCCCCTTATGTTAGTCTTTGACTATAATAAAGATTCATTTGATTTATTGTGGCAATATAATGTTGGAAATGTGAAAATATATGTGAAATAGTCTTTAACTACAGTTCTGAAGAATAAAATCCTTGATAGTTTCAGTAAAACATACCATTAGATAAATGTGCTTTGAATATATTTAGGATTGAAATCAGAATTTCTTGGTAGCAGGATTTTGATCTCCATACCGATGGGTGATGTAGCTAGGTGATTTTGGACTCTGGTCAAATTGCTTATGTGAAGTCAGCCCTTTTTAGATGAGTATAGAACTTTGGATGAGTTTTTTATCATGTCAGAAAGAAAAGCTATACATAATCAGTGCTTTGGTTCGGGATTCGTTTCTTGAGAAACAGAAGATTTTATATAATAGAAATATTTAATTTTAAGCTTTGGTTCAACATTTTCTCCCTATTTTTAGTTAAGTAATGTGACTGAGCAAAACAAGAAGCTTGAAGTCCAGTCTCGAAAAGTACAGGCTCGTTTAGAGAATTTGCAGGTAATATTTAATCTTAGCTTTTGTTACCTTTGCTCTCTGCCCACTCCACATCAGAAATCTTACATATTGTCTCTCTGACCTATTTCAGAGAAAGCATGAATTTTTATCAGTGCAGAGATCTAAAGAACCCACATTCCAAGACCGTAAACCTGTGAAGTCAGAAAGAGCAATAGCATCAGCAAAGGCCTATAAAGTAAGTAAGGCAAATTCTATAAAGCACTCAAGGCCCCAACTCAGAATTTTAAAGTCAGACAGCCTTATTTTGTGTGAGAGTGGAAAGGGCGGCTGCGCATATAAAATATATAATTGTCCTTTTTATATTGTATATCAGACACCTTGTGGATACTGACTATTTGTATGCATAAGATATTGAATTATGTTCGTTTGTATTATTGAAGGTAATCAGTGTATTCTCAGAATTCCTAGTGATCATTTTAAAAAAAATGCCAAATAGTTTCTTTTTTTAATAAGCTAATGATATCTTACATCATTAATATACATTATGTATCAACTATGCATATATGTTTAAGGAAGAAAGAAGTTAAAAAGATCAAGAGCTAAAGAAATTTGAAATTAAAATCTTTGCATACATTTATTGATTTGGAGAATATGCTTAAATTACAGAATGCTTTTTGCAAATACGAAGATTGATTGCTGTATATATAAATCCCTTTGCCTCTAGCAATCAAGTCCCAACCAACATTAAACTGATGCATGAAAAGAAATGGAAAGCTTCACAAATGGTTCAGCAGTGAGCAGGGAGAGAGACAAAGATGTGTGATGGTTAAAAACACAAATAATGCAGTGTGCTGGTTTGGCAGTTAATATCTGTGTACTTTTGTGTTGATGCCCGACACCTCAAGCAATTTTCAGGGAATGCTAGACAAATTATATGATGCAATGAAGAGTATAAATATGAAAAAAAATATCAAAGGCTCAGGTAAATGTGCTTGACAGGAGAATAGAGGGATTGATTGCCCATTAGTGATGAAAAATTAGAGCTAGTAGATGAATCTATGTTGCTTGTGTATTAAAGATAATAAAATGGGTGGTGGAATTTGTGACCTGCAGATACTGGTAGAACGTTGATTGAAGAAATATAAATGTAAGTTGAGGAATATCATAAATAGCAAGTAAAAAGAATTAAAGTATGAAATTAAAAAGAAGCAATGGCTCAATCTGATGTGCGAATCTACTGACAAAATCTAAAAGTTCTATCCTCCCTCTAAACTTTCTCACATAACATCACAAGCTCTTATACACTGACCAGTTTGCATGGGGCTACTGCCTCTTCCCATCTTATATCCTGGAGTAACAATGGCAATTGGGATTGTTGGAATTACCAGCACTGAGCAATGTGGTCACATGGCATCACTTAATGAGCCTATTACTTAGCAACAGAAATTCTACTCCCAATTACCATCATCAGCTACATTTTCAGTATTACAGGATGTATTATCCATGCATATGAAGTTGGAAGAACATTTCCCTTCTCATTTTTTTACCAGTACCATCTATGATTTCCATGCACTTTGGGAACAGGTGACCCAAACTGGATATGTGTTGCACAGCCAAACATACAAATTGGCACATCCTGTCAATATAATCTTATAGTAAAGATATTTTCAAATCTCCTTTCTGTGTTTTATTTTTTGGCAGTTACCACTTAATTCACATGTCTATAACTTGTTAACGGTATTAATGGACTGGATCTCAGAGCAGCACCTATGCAAATTGATTGTTGAGGAAGAGAAAGAAAACATTCACAAGCTAACGGGAACACTTGCTTCCAGCATAAACTATACACAGGAGAAATGTGTCAAGGTAGAATTTTTTCCAACAATGTAAAAAAAAGGTATATTGGTATTATTTGTATGTTCGGTACTGGTGTATTAAAATACTCTGTTGATTAAATAGAATGATTTCATATTATAGATCCTAAGATCTTCATGTTACTTTCATTAGAAAGCCCGTTATCTAAAACGGGCCCCCAACCTGTGGGCTGTAACCCACTACCGGTCCATGGTCTATTCGCAACTGTGCTGCATGAGTGGCTGGCTGGTGCTCGTGCATGCACATGCAACCCCACTCCCGCGAGCATCATGAGCACTCGGAGCCACACTTGCGCAAGTATTGCGGGCACTCACGGCCCCACTTGTGTGAGCGTCAAGGCTCGTGTCCCCACTTAACGTGAGCGGTGCAGGCACTCAGCCCCATTCGTTCGAATGTTGCGGGTGCTTGCGCGAGCATCACAGATGCTCTCCGCCTCACATGAGCAATGGGTGCTCGTGCACATGCACACAAACTTGCGTGCCCCTCCCACAGAACCATCCCCTCCCGGCTGCCAACCCAGAAAATTGGGGAAATCTGATCTAAAACAAGGGATCCATGCTTATAGGTGTATCTTCAGATGAATGTTTAGTATGCAGGTATGTTTCATGATATGTAACTAGCATATCTGGTTCCCTATGATTTGGATTTCATTCATCTAGCTCAAGTTAATTAATTCTGATGTATCATTTAAGATTTTTTTTTAAACCAGAGGTAATGGTTACTTAAGATAGAAAATTGCAAAACAAAAGTGCTCATACATGTTCATTAGCTGCAGTGCTAAACATGCTTGCCTAAAAGTAACCCGGTTGGTTGTAGTGGGACTTGTTTCTAATTCAGCATGCATAGCCTTACACCAGAGGTCCCCAACCTTTTGGGCACCAGGGACCAGTGCCATGGAGAAAGTTTTTTCCATGGACCAGAGGGGGTGTGGTTTTGAATGCTGCCTGCATCCCGAGGATGGAGCTTTGCTTGTTTGCGCGGCCCGCTTGTTGACATGCTACGGACCAGGGGTTGGGAACCCCTGTCTTACACCATCCATTCCACACAGGCCCAAGTAAGCTTCTTCCTGTGTTCTTCTATAATAAAAAAAGTTGTGATAATGCCAGAAGAATGAGTTTAGTAGGGTTTTTTATTTCTCAATCAAGCTGCATACCGAAAATGTTTAAAATCTATTAATGGCAGCATAAGGCCAAACATACTATCTCTCAGAAAAGTATGTGTTAGCTGCAGTACAGATTTTATTACCAGGCTTCTGTTATTAACCCTGCAATCCAGCTTATGTTCCTAGTACAGGAATTTCAAGGAGGATGTAAAACTTCCCTGCATAAAGAATACCCTCATTCCATAATGATATGTTGCTATATCAACAGGCATCATAAACAAATACAGATCCAAATGGTTTTCATTATGCAAAATAGTGACGGCCAAAACACTATATGCCCCTACAATGTTGTCCTCAATACAGTTTGTAGCCCAGATAAGTGATAGCTGATCTTGGCTGATCTGAAAAAGTCCAAGTTAATTCCTGGATCAGTGACCCTAGCCAAATCCCAAGGCTCAAGGCAATGACAAACCACTAGGTTAGAAATTGCTAGTAAAAGTAGACTTATTACAGATTAAGTGAGATTGATATAATTTAAACTGGAATGTTCACTGAAAAAGACAGTCACCGTGCCTATTTAACTTACATGCAGAGCACATCATGAGAAAGGCAGGGCTAGATGAATCAAAAGTTGGAATTAAGATTGCCGGGAGAAATATCAACAACCTAAGATATGCAGATGATACCACTCTAATGGCAGAAAGTGAAGAGGAACAAAAGAGCCTCTTGATGCGGGTGAAGAAGGAGAGTGCAAAAGTTGGCTTGAAACTCAACATTAAGAAAACCAAGATCATGGCATCCGGCCCTCTCAATTCCTGGCAAATAGATGGGGAAGAAATGGAGGTAGTGACAGATTTTATCTTCCTGGGCTCCAAGATCACCACATATGGGGACTGCAGCCAAGAAATTAAAAGACACTTGCTCCTGGGGAGGAAAGCTATGGCAAATCTAGACAGCATACTAAAAAGCAGAGACATCACCCTGCTAACAAAAGTACGTATAGTCAAGGCCATGGTTTTCCCAGTTGCAATGTATGGCTGTGAAAGTTGGACCATAAGAAAGGCTGAGCGCAAAAGAATTTAGGCCTTTGTACTATCTAGACCCATACCAGTCGGGCTTCAGGCCGGGACACAGCACGGAAACGGCATTGGTCACGTTGGTTAATGATCTCTGGAGGGCCCGGGACAGGGGTTATTCCTCTGTCCTTGTTCTTTTGGACCTCTCAGCGGCTTTTGATACCGTGGACCACGGTATCATGCTGCGGCGTCTCGGTGAGTTAGGAGTGGGAGG